ATTCGACTCTCAGCCAAGAGCCAGCCACACACACACACACACATAAGGAAATACACATTCTTAGGCAACAGCAAAGAAAATATGAGAGACTCGCTCAAGAGCCCTTCTCACCCGCACGAGCATGACCATCAACGCATATTGCCTGTTGGATACATTGCGTCGCGGCTAACCCCATCATCTTTTTTTTTTTTCCTTCATCCCAATATTGCCCACGCCCGCGCATATATGCTTAATACTGTTCAATCGACAGCCGAACAGTACTGGCTCAAAACAACCTGGCCTGCGCACCCTCCAAGAACGGGGCGGCTTGCCATATCCCTTAATGTATACCCCTCGATTTTACTGGCTCGAGCCTAGCCAAAGTAATAAGTCGCCGTGCAAGTATATTGAACCCCTCAGGAAATTGATCCATTATCGTACCTTTTTCTTTACCCTTTGTATTTTTTCTCTCTTCCCCCTTCGCTTGTTTGCTTGCTGCCATTTCGCCCCCGTCCCTTTATCCCGCCTATGAGGCTATGAGGTACCTCAAGCCGCTGGACGGCCGCCTCTTTCCCTCTTCTCTTCGCTGCCCGTCGTTTGGCGTTGAGTACCTCGGTGAAGAGTAGTAGAGTAGTACACGGCACTGCCGTGTTCAAGCGATGAAGAAATTGGAGTACTTGGGCCCTTTCCTCGCCCCTGCCCTGTGAAATTCTCCTTTACTATACCTTATGCCCTTGTTTTGCTCCCCTTCTCCATCTTGTGCATGGCCCATCCTGTCGTGGTGCCTATAGCTGGGCACTATTATGACGCCTCGTGTAAGAGATAGATTTCGGTGTTCCCTGCTTGTCAAGATCTCACGCGGCACCTCGATCTCCGAGACATTGCGCTACCCTCTCGCTGTGCCGTTGATCTTTTTCACAGTGGTTCTTGCGGGAAGGTGCGCCCGCTGTCTTGGTCATGATTTCTTCCTGGTCAATATTGAAGTCCTTCATGGTACTGAAGGGTCGGAAGGAGAAAAAAAAAAGGCTGAGGCTCAATCACCTCTCGAGTTTGAAGAATAGCGTCTTCCGGCGTCCCACTCCTCCCACGCTCCGACACCCTCGCCTCCGGAGGTTCCCGCCAGGCGCTAAGCCCAAACGAAGCCGCCTATCCAAGTATGCTCGGAGACCTAGAATCGCGGGTTCCGAAAGCCTCCCCAGTTCTAGTTTAGACCCTCCCCCGTTCCAATGTGCTGGAACTAGCAGGACTAGCCGCTCTAATGGCAGAATCAGGACCGAAACCACATGGTACGTTGAAGAGTTTGTCGACGGGGCTCAACACATTGGTGACAAGTTTTGGGGGTGCAAAATCTTGGCCCCCACCCAGAGCTTCTTCGCAATGGACCCATCTCTGACACTTTGTGGTGGGTTGGTACGAAGTAGAATGTTCTTTTCCATCGATTGATGCCAAGGCACCTTCGTGGAGAAGGGGAGTCCGGCGGAGGCGGATAAGAGGCCCAGGCACCCTATCAGAAGGGAGTGGGAGGCGAAATTGAGAGAGAGCTGGAGGCCACCGTAATGTTCCTACCCAGCCATACACAATACGATTGAGCCAAATGTCGACGACTTTTTTCTTCTCTTCTGGACACTTGCCCCTTTCTGCTTCCCTCACATTCTCGTTTTGTCGAACGGACCGAAACATACGCACCTTGAAGATGGATCCATTGTTTCTACCCAGCCAGTCACGATCGATTCTTCAACCACCCGTTTGACCTTTCGGTCCCCGCTCAAAGCAAGGGCCAACTCAGCGGCAAACAGGGACTGGAGGCCCGAAAAAACATCAATGGATCCATCCATAGATAACTTGCCCCCAAAAACTTGCATTGGTCAAGGAACGTTGTAGGGCGGTCCAAAAGAAGACAGACGGTCGTGCTCGGTCCTTACCCGGCAGAGCTTCCAGAACGAGCGTAACCTTCCACAAATGGAATTGTTGCCCAAGGGGTGGTACATCCCCCAAGAGCCAACATTAGAACATCAATGATTCAACATGCCGCCAAAGTACGAAGTAGTTGTCCCCGCCACGAGCTTCGCTATGTTGTCCCGCCGCCGAGTACAAGGAGTGTAATTCACGTGGAAGGACTTGACCCTCTGACCCTGTGTCTCTTTTACAAATTGATCAAAAGAGCCTCCGCAAGCATTTGGTGTTCCCGCTGTTGCCCCTTGAGCCCCAAGGGTTGTAGTCGGCATTAAAACGCTGTTCGCCCCTCCCCTTCCTCTCGGCTCCTTCCATAACACTGGCCGGCCATCTAGGCTCTTCCTTCCGAGACAGGCACTATGGATCCAATGGATGGATGGGTTCTCTTGCAGAGGAAAGAACAAGCAGTTCACACAGAGCCGCTTCAGGGATTCGGGCTGTCACGTTCCAATCGACGTTGGTTCCTGCCGAGGCCATCTTCGCCACGGTTATCGGAATATACTTCGTACATCTAAGCACCTCTTGTGGCTGTCTTTGAGTTTGAAGGCAAAAACCATGGCGGAGAGGAAAACGGTGAGAAAAGAAAAGAAAAGGTAAAGAGGCAAGAGGCAAGAGAAAGTGCAAGGTGGAATTCGCTCAAGTCCAAGTTGAAAAAAAAAAAAAAGTTTCTGCCCGGTCCGCGGTTGTTACATTTACACCCTTTTGCAATTCTCTGTCCCGTACTGAATTCAGGAAGAATACTAGATACACTTCAAAGTTGTCTGAGTTACCGACCGCACATACGCACACACACCAACACGTACACGCTCCTTTTCTTTTTCTTTTCTCAAGAAACCTTTTGAAAGGTACGGCGCTCCGAGCCACACTAAACAGCAGATGCTTTTCTTCCTCATCCCCCATTACCAGTTAGCCCTGCGCCACCGCTTGCCGACTGCCCTGGCTAAAAGACATCGAATTTGGCTACCATGGGCCGGACGGCATGAACTGCGCACTATTGCTCTTTCATGACGAAGGAAGGGAAGGGAGAGGCTGACGCTGAGCGTTATACATGTATTTTGTTATTAAGAAAAAAAAAGAAAAAAGAAAAAGAAAGCTAAAGGGAACAAAAAGGTCGCGCGACCGGCGCTAAGCGGCCAGTCCATATTGGCGCGGGTCGACCGACACTCGATGTAAAAAACAGAACACACTTGGATGGAAAGGTCGCGAGATTCGTACACGCGAGACGCCAATACATCATCGCCGTCTCCTGCACTAGGATTCCCTAATCAAGTCTGACCTACCCTAACCGAAGAGGGTGATGGGGTGGTCGTCCGGGTTCGTCTTTGCAAGGGGATGAAGGGGAGGGGGTATTAGTTTGTGTAGATCGCCATCTGCATAATTCTCCGGGCGGACGGGAAAGGTCAAAGACCAGCTCAGGCCAAAACAACCACAGGTACACACTAGAGAGAACCAAAGAAAAGAAAAGAAAAGAAAGTGAACATAGCAAGCAAGTGGACACAAAGGACAAAGGGACAAGGGTTTTAGGTGCGTTTGCCAACTTGGAATACCCATATGTAAAGTACCCAGCAAACTTAGCAGACGGAATGATGCGCGCAGTGCCCTTCATCGGCCCACTGAAACCCGAGAGACATTAAGGCGTAGCAAAAGCAACACACAGGTGCGCAATCGCCAAAGGCCCTCCAGCAAAACCTAAACCTCCGTTCTGCGTCAAGAGAAAAAAAAAACACACATGAATCCGTAGATGGTATGAGATAGGCTGCAGCCAGGATCTCAACTCCCACCAGTTTGACGTTGCTTATGCTTCCTAGACGCATAAGAGAGACATTCAATCAATCTAGACTTGGAGCGTTTGCTGCCACGGATGATGCTATGATGCTCGGGAGGGAATCTGTTTCGCAGAAGTCAATTCAATGTTTGACTGAATGAATCCACCGGATCGATTGACGTTCGCCCTGGGAGCTGCTTGAACCGCCAAGTCGTGCCCTGGTAGTTAACTTCCTTCTGCGGCACTCCTTGGACACTTCAATGTCGATCCTCACCTTCGCTTCTGTCTGGTACCATAGTTTACATGGAGTAGATGTCTGCGAAATCCAAAACTTGTCCTCTCCTGGCTGCTTCCTTCCCCCAAATCCCCAAGGAAAAGGAAAGAGAAAGAAAAGAAAGAAAAAGGGTTTAGCCTCCGTGCCAATTGCTAACTTTCCCGCTTTCTACACAGCACTTGGGTACGTACGTGTCCGTCGATTGTACCTATCCTCCCGCCCGTAGCACTTGGCCTTTCCCCAAAAACGCTCGCTCGGCGATTTTCCGAGCAATGATATACACGGAGTTATTAGCCCTACGTACATCCCATTGAGCACAACATTGCCTTTGTAGACATACTCCCCCTTTGGGTGGGCCTTTCCCTTTCCCCCACCCCCGGCCAGGTACGAGTGTACAAAACGATTTGATCCATGGCGTAGGATGCGGCCCTCCACCTGCCACTCAAGCGGCCAAGATCTCCTCGTCCTGCGCTTCAACCGCTGTTACTACAATCAGAAGCCCTCCCGAGTAGAACTGCCTCTCGTTTTTTGGCTTTACCCACTCCGTCCTCCACTCCAGTGTTTGTCCCACTGGGATGCGCTCCTCCGGCCCTTTCCACGCACCCCTCCCCATCCCGGAAAGGCCCTCGCCCTTCTTTTATTCTTTGGCCCCCACGCTTCTGTAACTGGCCTACCTCTCATCAAACCCCGTTCTTTGATCACCACGTCCTGTTTCGAGTTTCCCTCTTGGGTCTTGTGTAGTTTTTATCTCCTCCATTCCCCCTCTCTTCGACAGCCGGGCTCTTCGATATTCACCTTCCTCCGCCATTCCCTCCTCCTCTCAAATTGTTCTTGCCTCTTGTCTCTCTTCTCTCTAGCATATCTCGGCGCCTTGCTTTCTCATCCACCATCGGCGCTTCCCTTCCATATAAGCCCCCTACTCAAACACCACGAGTCGACTTGTTTCTTCCACCGACAAACTCTCGCCAAGATTAATACGAAAGGAATCACGGAGGAATCTTTGGAACTGGCCCCCAACCTTGAGGATTAATGATCACCTGGGACAAACGTCGTGAATACGCAAGTGAGCTGGGCCAGCAAACGACGACTTGGGAGACACGCTTCGAGACGACGGCAAGCCGGTTCACGGAATCAACCCAAGCACCTGGATTCTAGCGAGCGATGAGGTAGTCCAAGTGTATTCGGCATCGAACAACACAATTGAAAAGTCCAGTCTCAGCAATCTGGACTTTGGATTCACGACGAGTTGAACAAGGGCACCAGGCCAGAATAGCGACGCCCGTTCTGTCCCCCCTAGCCTCCTCTCCTGTAACAGGAACAAGAGCTTGATCCCCGTGGTTTATCGGCGCCGGACCTCGTCCCCATCTAGCGAGACGACAACCGCCGTCTCGTCCCACCAAGATGTGGTGGTCTAAATCGTCGCCCGCTCCCTCTGCTAACCCAAAGCCTGTGGCCGACGCTACCACCCTATCCTCTAGTAGTCATCCCTACGAACAAACGAGTTCCTCTTCAGCAGAGACTCCTGGCGATGGCCGGATCCCCCACCTGACGTAAACGCACAGAGCACTGCTTTTGCGCCGCAGGATGACGAAGAGAATGGCAGTTACAATCTCTCGAATACGAATAAAACAGAACGGACGAAGCGAGAAACTATTTGCGGTATTAGGAGAAAGGTCTTTTTCCTCATCATTATCGGTGGCGCGTTGGTGGCTATTGCCGCCGTTGCGATAGGAATCGGTGCCGGCATTGCGTTTAGCAAGAAGAGGAAGTAAGTTTTTCTGAACAGCAAACCTTGGTTTCTTTCCGCCACCTTGGTGGAGTAGTGTGCTTGGCCTCCTGTCAATCTTGTCCGGTTATCTACTTGTACACCGTGATCGATTTACACCCCTGGTCGAGCGATGACGCAGCCGCAACAGGCGTAGGAGACGCCGCGCCGCGTCTTGGGGAGAAGAAGAGACTAACGAGCATTCCAGACCCAATTCAACCCCCATCCTATCCACCTCCACCTCCGACATCACCTGCCCCGATTCGAACAATTCTACCTTCCAATCGCCTACCAACTCTGACATCTACTTCCGCCTCTCATGCGGCCTAGACCACCCTACTTCGCTCGGCTCCATTGATCTGTCTTCATCCTCGACCGCTTCGATGGGCGCATGCATTGACCTCTGCGCCGAAAAGGACGAGTGCTTGGGCGCGAGCTGGGAAGCCCGGCGATTCGGACGCGGATGGCGACGAGGGCGGCAAATGCATCTTGAAGGGTCACATTGGGGAGAGCGAAAGCGACGGCGACGGCATCTTCGCGCTTAGGGTCGATAACCCAAACAAGATATGAGGGTGCTTGGCATAGCCCTGTAGTTCAACAAGACTCACGGGGCTTTGCCCCAGCTCCCTCCGTCCACGATCCTCATCCTCCCTTGACGGCGGCGGGAGAGGGCACAATTTTCCGAGCGCCAGGCGATGGGACGACTCCATGCATGTCCCATGCATGTCCCTGCCACCTCCGCGATGCGCGGCGCGAACAGAAGCCGCCTCCGTTATGAAGCGATGCTTGCGCCCAGAAGATGATTCTAGGTCGTGAAAGCTCCTTGATCATTTCTTCTACCGCTGCGCATTTCGGCATTGGCTTTAAGAAACCTCTTCGCTTTTTTCTTTCCTTCTAATGGCCCCTTTCAGAACTCTAGATCGAGTTAAGAGATCTTGGGCCCAGCGAGACAAAGGAAGAACGCCACCAAAACTTGGCTAACCGGCGGCTTGGCGCCCTTGCAGATGCAAGGGGCCGAAAACGAATTTCGGCGGCCCTCTCCCCCTTGCACTCCCGACTTTTTGACAGAGGCACCGAGCCACGACCAGCCCAGCCCCCGTGCTCCCCGGGACAAAGCCCTCTTCCTGCGTCAGCCGAATCCTCGGGTTCATGCCAGCATGCATGCTACAAGCGCTCCTCTCGCCACGACACCTCACCTGCTCATATTTCAACAAAAGTTCGCACTTTATCTTTTCTTCCTGCGACACTTGTATATATTTTTTCCAAACGCGATACCGGCCACGATTTTCAAAATGGCGCCTTGCTCTCTTTTGTCTGCTTTCGAAAGAAAGAGGCTATGTTTAGCCCGAGGCTATCCATCGATCTCCAAGCAGGAAAGCCTTTGATGAGGGGGCTTGATCCTGCGGAGGAGAACGAAGAAAGGTGGAATCCAACCAACGCCCTCAATTGGTCGAGTTGGAAGACCTCGTATGTTTTATCTAGGTGCCTCATGCTCCTTGACCATTTCTTTGTATATAGACACTTTTTCTTTTTCTCTCCCGATCCTCCTCTTAGCCTCTTTTCGGTTCATTGGAACCCCTCTTTTGCTCTTGTTCGGAGTTTTACTGGGGAAACACGACATCACACTGGGACGCATAGATAGACGAACCTCACATCTGACAGCCAAAATGATTACATTTACTATTTCCAACTATAACGTTGCGTATTGCGGCTTCTCCATTCCCACACATGATCCGTCTTTTGATGCCTGGCTCTTTTGCTACCGAGATCTCTCTCTCCCGCACCGTCGAACCACCCTCTTCTCTATCGCTGGGCGAATAGGAAAACTCTTGCTTAGCTGGATAGGAAGGTGAATTGCTCGATTTGACAGGCCCATCAAGCTCTCATACAATGCACTGGTCGGAGAGCGAGGAAGAGAGGAGCAAGGGATTATTTCAAATTCAAAAAGTCACGATTGGCCAGGGACAACAGTCACGAAAGAGTTGAAGCGGGAGGAGATAGGAAGAGAGGCGTATGTTACGCGTCTTCCGAATTGTCTTGACATTCAAATTTATTGTCCTTTTTTCGATTCTCCTTGGCCTCCTACCCTTGGATGCCCTTCGTTTCCGTTTCTCGCCCTTCCTGCCGGCCCCTGCCCCGGGCCCCTTTTTGCTCTATCTTATCTTTGCGACAAAGGAAAAAGAAAAAGAAAAAGGAGAGAGTAGGAGGAGGAGGGGAAAAGGATTAGAAAAGGCAAGACAATGGATATATAAAAGGGTTTTGCCGTCGAAACCCTCCCCCTCTTTCTCTCTGTCTAGAGAAAACAGGTAAAAGACAAAAAGACAAATACCTCCCTTCCCTACCTGCCTGCCCACCCGCCTGTTTGCAATATGATATATGAAACCAGAGTAACGGAAATAAACCCGAAAAAAACAGAATCCCCTGCTAAGCAGGTACAAAACTAGAAGCGAGGGGAAGACATAATAAAAAAACAAAAGCTGGAAAACGAGAACGCTTCGAACCCCGCAACGGGGGTGGTGTCGTGTGGCGATGACTGGACATGGGACGGTTTTGGAGGGTTGGGAGAGAGAAAAAGAGAAGAAAAAAAGAGAGAGAGAGAGAGCCGCCGTGTTCTATCCTCCTGTCCGAGATGATATAAGTGGTATAAAGTAAAAACCACCAAAGAAGAGCGAGAGCTGCGTTGCGTATGGGAGTATAGATGTAAGAACAAAAAGAACAAAAAGGCCGTGACAATAAAGTGGGAGTAGTAGTAGTAAGTGATCAAAGGGGTCGAGAAGAGGAATCAAGAGAAAATGAAAAGATCAGCTAAACAAAGGGAAACCGAGCGCAAGGCTTCCCCCTTCCAGCTTCTTTTCGTATTATACACGCACAGGGCCCAAACCTGGCACGAGGTCATTCTTAGCAGCTCTTGGTGACCCTCCACGCTGCGAGGCCTCTCCTCCCAATAACGCGCGAGAGCGTGTTCCACACGCCATCCTCGGCGAAATCGAGATCGTCCAGGTTCAGGTGCGTCCGGGTCCGCCACACCTCCCGGAACCGTAGACCCGTCAAACCCTTATTGGGGAGGTACGGGTCTAGCCACGTCGCGGATGTGGGCGCAATGAGGTACGTCCCGTTGCTCTCCTTGAGGTACTCTTGATTCCTCCGGTCGGCGGGGTGTCGCACGTCGCAAGTCGCTCCAGCTCCTCCAACAGGGTGTCGCCCCGCATGCCCATGACGTCGCGCGTCTCCAACACCTCGTTCTTCCCGTTGAGGAGCCAGATGGGAGGCGTGTACGTCTTCCACCAAATGGCCTGGGTCGCATCGGGTTGGCTACTCATAAAGACTTGGGCGGGCACGATGCCGCCCTGATGGTAGATGCCCATGAGAATGCCGAAGAAGAGGTTGAAGATGACCCACACGGCCATCCACACCCTCGCTAGTGCCTTGTTCTTGGGTAGTCGCACCGAGGAGAGGATCAACGGCACGGTCGGAAGCAGGAAGCGGGCCTCCTGGTGCTGGAAGACGGAGAGGACGACGATGCCCGAAATCGCCGAGTAGAGTCGGAGCGAGAGGTGTGGGCGAACGACGGCAAGGAGGGTGGCGGGGCCGAGAAGCATGGGGATGTTGGCGAGCAGGTGCTGGTACCAGGGATGGAGGCCATGCTGGGCTAGGTTCTCGGGCGAAATGTTGTAGGCGAGGTTGTTGAAGGGGGTGATGACGGGGCGGAAAATTAGGTCGGCCCATGTGATGGGCTGAGTAGAGTAAAACGCGGTGTCGAGCGCAATGGCGATCACCGCTGTGACGAGCCCGGCTAGAGCCATCACAAAGAGGGAGAGAGGTCTAGGTAAGCTCCCGTTAGCGTCATTTCCTTCCCGCTTTCGCGGTTCGTAGCTTCATCCGCCATGTACATCTCCAGACCATCAAACGCAGGCAGAAAGAACAGGGGCGATACATACTTATTTAATAATTGGGGTATCAAACGAACACCGGGGAAAACAAGGAATGCTGGAAATGTGATGCGGTTGAAAACACCAAACACGGCGACTATGCCAAGAACCACACATGACAAGAGAGAAGAACGTTGCTGCAAAAGAATAATTAGCACAGTGGTTCATGGACGCCAAAGACATTAAAACCATACCGGAGCTTCAACGATGCGCTGGATCAACACCATGCTCCAAGCGACGATGAGCGATTCGATGGAATTCGAAAAGGTATGGGTCTGGTACGTCCAGGTGACATAGGACGAGGCGACGAGAAGCACCGCGAGGCGCCGATGTCGCGGCGACTGGATGAGTTCGTGAATGGCCCAATCCTCCAGCACAAAGCTGATGACGAACATAAGGACACGGAGGGTCCAAAAGACGGCGATGGGCGGGATCTCGCCCGCTTGGCCGTTACCGATCCAAAGCCATCGCAAAAGAAGCATCGGCAGGCCGTAAACAGGCCATAACGGGAACACGCTTCGGATCGGGTGGTCGCTCGTGAACTCCCACGTGTGTCGAACGGGGTAACTAAAAATTTGGCCTAGGCGCGCATGACCACAGTTAGCCACCAGACCACTTTCGAGAGTTTTTCGTCCAATAGCAAAATTCGCAGCCACCATCAACCCCTCAAGCGGTGGGTAAAGAAAAGAAGGAGATGAAAAAAATTAAAAGAACAAGAAAATGTGGGAGAGACAGAGAGGAAGACAAATGTGGTGGGGTTTGACGGTGAGGGCCAAGCCTCGTGCGCGAGCATCGCCTAACGAGAGGCCGACGATACCTTCGCACTTGCCGCCTCAACGACGCAAAGGATCTCGAAGCTATCAAGAGCTTGAAATTCATCCATCCCGCCGCCCTATTCCAGCTCCGAGAGCTGCCCAGTCCCCAAGTTACCCTTGGGAGAGCACCATGGCGCCGTGCATAGCGAAAATATCGGTCGCGGCTCCAAAGCTCTAGGCAGACAGGACATGGGAGTGAAGCCCCTCAAGCCCTTCAAGCCCGCAAGGAATGACGAGGGAAAACATGTGCACGTAATACAAGAGGTGGACAAAACAATGAAATCCTCGTAAACATACCCGCAATCACCTCCGGACCTTGAAAGTTCTCATCTGGATGTAGATAGCTCGGTGAGAGCGCAAACCACAGCCGGACGAGGACGAGAAGTAGGTAGATGCGCCTCCACATATTGGGCCAGAGGTCTTGGATCTGGCTATATCGACAGGTGCAGCTCGAGCATCGACTGGCGGAAGACAGGTTGGATCTGAAATCGGATCGTGGACATCGGTATTTGGGAGGGCAGGCAACGTCGCATAGTAAGCGCTGACCAGCGCATGATAGGGCGCCAGCAGCTCCGGATAGGAAAGAATCAGGAAGTCGTGGTGACAAAGAGGAGGGACGATAAAAGAGAAGAAGAAAAAAAGAAAAGAAAGATAAAAGAGAAATCGTTTGCCGGTCCGAAAATGTCTTGGACCAAGGCGGGTCTCCGTTCAAACCCCAAGGCGAGACACCAGGGGTCGGAGGCGACAAATTCTCGAGATCGGGGCTGGCGATTCGTTCTCAGTCGCGGTCCACCTTGCTCGTGCTCCCCGCGGTGGGTGCGTCTCGAAGAAAAGCGAAATCAGCGTGGAGAGAGGAGGCAATAAGTTTAGCTCGCTGTTGCTAGCAATATTCGCAGGCGGTGGTGAGGATGGGAAGAACAAAGCCGGCCAGCTGTTTTTTGTTTTCTCAAGGTGTGGGTGAGAAGGACAACGTTGATTTCCTCCTTGGACGGCGTCTCTCCTTTGAAGCCAGCGGCAAGGACATTGGTCAAGACAAAGGAGTCTGGCGCATTTTTAATAAGATGGGGGGGAGAGGTGGGAAGGGAAGAGACGAGTTGAGCAGGGATCAAGCCAGGAAAAGGGAGGGTGCCACTCCCAGAAAGCTGGCGAGCAGGGGCCATGGAACGCTTGATAACGGGAGTTCGAACCGTGACGCGACTGGGGCAGCAGAGAGAGAGAGAGAGAGTGTGTGTGTGTGTGTCCAGTTGTTGTGTACACTCTGGCCCAAGCCCAGGCCAAATGTACGAAGTACCTCCCCGATGAAAATTTGTAGAGGTACCTCGCGGCCTCCTGGACTGGTTTGACGACTCGGGGGAAATAAGGAGCAGAATGAGCACACACCAAACCCGTCAACGACATGGGCCTGTCATGTTGTCATATACGCTACCTCCTATTCGCAAAGGCCGTCTCACCATTGTCGAAATATCCTAATATTAATATTCGGTTGTATTGTTCTTGCCAGCTGTTCATTCCCCAGACTGTTGCAATCAACCATTCTTATTATTATTATTTGCCCACAATCAATAATATCTGATGCTATATTATGATTGATGGCCTGTCAAGGTACGAAGTATTAACCCGAACTCTTCCCTCCCAAGCAACCAAGCTTGACCCGACTGGCCTGATGCGGTGCGATGCTCCCGATTAAGCTCCATTTGCCAAGGAACATTCGCCTTTGAAAGCACCCAAAACGGAACATTGAAGTGTCTGGGTGGTGGAATGTCTGGCAGTGCGTGCGTGCCGGCGGAGTGTTCCTCTTCCAGCAGCGCCTGGAAGCTCGCCCCTGAAACCGTAACTAGGTGAAATGAAGCTATTAATAATTCGCCCGGACCGGCTCGTTTTGATCCCATCACGGAGTCACATTGAATGGGAGACCCAAATCATTCCTAGTACCATAGTTCTGGAACCCAGGCTCAGGCCAGCGGAGCGTACATGTATGTGGTGAATGGAGCCGTAGCACACATAACAATGCCACGCACTTTTTCTTTCCATTTGATTCTGTTGAGGAGCGTATTGATGTCTTTCTCTATTATCTTTTTTCGGTTTCGGTCTCTTTAATGTTCTCTTCTCCGACTCATTCAACTTGTGTACACGAGGGCAGTAGAGTCTTGTCTTCGTACGTTTCACCTGGCTCACCCGCCTTCGTGTGTAACTGAAAGCAGGCAGGGGATTGATCGTCCTGTACCACTTGGATTACAACATGAACCTGTACGTTCGCATGCAGACAATGAAGCCCTTTTCAGAAATGGCCCCCTGGGGAACTCTATATGAGTGGTATCGCTACTTGAAGCCCTCCGATGGAGTACACCCAAGTCTCCTCCTGCACACTGCAAGCCCACCCAGGCCTGGCATTGCTAGATCGGTTCCAACTTGGCCACGTATCTCCACCGCAGCCCAAAGAAAAAGAGAAAAAAGTAGCTTACCCCTGTTCACCGCTGCACACAATTAACAGCACATCAGCGCTTGGGGATGCCGGCGGAACGTGCTGTCGGAACGTGCTCTTTTTCCTAATTCTGCTGATTTCTCGACCCAGTCCGGCAGGGAAATCGTCTTCATCATGACTCCCCTTTCCCTCTCCCGGGCAGGCAGCAAGGAAAGCCGGACGAGGCAGGCAGCTCAGCCGAGACAACGGTGTTGACAATCGTCGGCATGAACGGAGACGAGCTATTGCCCTCGACAGCCAGGGCAGTAGGAGATGAACTTATGAGACGCGATGGAGAAAACTCGGAATCACTGTTGCCATAATAATGAGAAGACGGCAAACCAAGGGAAAGAGAAGGGCATCATCCCCGCCCCTCGATAAAGAAAAAGAAAAAGAAAGGAAAAAGAGATGCCTAGTTTCAATCTAGAAGATTGATTCTCGGGTCCATCTCATCCACCCTCCTCCGGACCTCCCATGGAACTCTTTGTCTCTCATCCCCAACCCTAAAAAACCAAAGAAAAAGTGGATCATCCATTTCGTAAAACGTTCGACTTGGCGATGTCAAGTCCCTCCAACATGTTCTCTTCGCCTCCGCCCCTATTAGCTTTGCAAAGCTTGTTTTCCCACCAACTCTGCAGGGGGCAAGTCCGACTCTCGCTCGGGGTCAGGCGACTTTTCCTGCTCGTTTGCTCGTTCGACTCGCTTTCTCAAGGATGCCGCGAGATTCAGTCTTCCTGCGATGAGTCCACCACATCATAAGACCGCCTAAGCGAGTTCCCAACAACTCTTTAGATGGGGCGTTTTTATTTCCTATCAAGGCCCGGACCGAAATCGTGGCCTAGGCCATTAAATCTTTAATCTTGTCATTGACGTGCTGATACCTCCGTTGCTGCGTAGTATTAAACCGGGGAGCTAGGCCTTAGGACAAGAGGAGGTGGGGAAGATTGGTAGGGGAGCTAAGTGACGCTTTCAGGCAAACTCCATCCGGCCTCGGTATATATGAAGGAAAGCCTCCATCACCGGCAGCTGCGGGTTGAGCATTCTAATCTTGATATCTTGATGAACCCATGGAGTTTTCGGGCTTGCCAGCATCATGCTTATTGTCCAGGAGGCTGTCGTCAGCCCCCATCCCCAAGTCACGTTTTCCCCGGCCTATCTAGAAAACGGGTGATGTGTTCAAGACGGGCTATCACCAGCTTTTCAAAGGCGCTACCGATGGTCCATACCAATCGCCTAACGAAAGTGGAGGTGAACACGAGTTTCTCTGGAACGAGAAGCATTGTGCGGCATCGCACGGGTGCGAGCAATCTGGTCCGTAAGAGGAGAGAGGCCAGGTGTGTGCGAGGTTTGGGGACCAAAGGCTCTTTCTATGTCCTATGGCCGAATCTATCTCCAGCTAGAGATTGTAGGGGACATGGGGCCTCTAGCATCACGGGGCGGCATCAGCTTTTAGCAGGTGCCATGAAGACATAGCGACCTTCTTCAGGATGTTCCTGTACGTCCCTTTACCAACCCACAGCTATGCGTCTACCAGGGCCTTCTATAACCACCGCGTGCGTAACCTTTGTGCGTGATCAGTATAGATGAACATAGACACGGGCGGGTACAACGAAACAGAAAGTACGTCGGCGAGACGATGGATATCCATCTCGAGATCCCGGAATCCGCGGGATGATATTGCCGTTAACGGTCTCGACATGCTCGGTTCTTACGAGTTACATGACATAAAAGTAGATAAAGCGCCGGAAGGGGGCCCGCGAGGCTAGACAGAGCACCAGCTAACAGAGACTTGGTCCTCCGGATCCAGCGGAACGCGAGATCCGTTTTCTGCGCTCATTCTACCCTTCCCTGGCCTTGATAATGGCAACAGAGATGGTGTTATGGTTTAGTTGCTGCCATGACACAATCTGTAGATGCTAACCAGTGTTGCTCCTCGTATAACCCCTCGATTCGGTGACTCTGGACAATGAGGAGTGTCCTTGCATCCACTCTGCCGACTACCGCCCAAGAATCCAGCCGTCATGGAATGCGCGGCTCTCAAAGTAGGAACCTTGAAGTGATGAAAGCCTTGCCAGACTTCGCTTTGCCCTATTATTATCCCTATATCCATTGAGATTACTCCGTTGGTGTCACGCTTGATAACACGGCTCAACGTTCAACCGGGGAATGTGAGTGATTTGCCTCGCGGAGCATGGGGAGAGGAACAGCTCTTCTTGTCTCTCGTCGCTACCCTCTACTCGCCATCCGAGCCTTTTCGAACCCGGAATGTACGTGCCTGGTGATACATGCCGGGATTCCCATGCGTCTTTGTCCGAGAGAGAAGCGCCTTGTGTCCGCTCCAGGCACTCAAACCCGGAATGCCAAGTGGCAGTGCCATGATAGACTGGTGGGGCCGTCGGGAATGGGTGGCCCCCAAATCCTCGTGAAGAATTCCGGTCCATTGGCTCATGAAAGAAGTATGCTGGGCGAGCCGTAGGAGAAAAGAAAGGAAAAAGCCGGGGTAAGGTGCAACGTGCAATGCAAGGGGTCTGTCTGGTCATTATCTGAACCAACTTACATTTTCAGCCTACACTAGGTTTTCAGCTCTTCATCTTCATGCCTGCCTAGCTAGCTGGTCAAAGCTCTTTCTCTGCCAAAAGCAGGGTCCTTTGAGAGAGATGGGGTGCTCTTTCCATCTCTGCCGAGGCATTTTGAAGAGTCTGATTGAGCATACCTCAGTAGATGATTGCTATAATGTAATCAATGATTAAAATGGGGACATCGTGATTGAGATAGGCCTCTAGTTGAAGTTGTTGATCTTTAAAAACGATAATGATATTTAAGAAGCTATAATGAGCAAGGGAGAGTGTTTTGTTATAATATTAGCAGCCTCTTTCAAGAATGAGAAAGGATGCCACTGGACTGAGGACGCTTGCAGTCAAATCTTTGTAGGCTTTTTCTTTTTTTCTTCCTACTTTTCTCTTACATCCACGGATATTTAGACCTATTCATGAGATATAAGAAGGAGGGCTGAGAACCCCTCTGCTCCAGTCCTTAGGATGCAAATCAGAGCACTAGGCATCAAGAATCATCTACTACAGTGGTCAACCGTCAACCTCCACACTGTAGACGATACTGGAGCAGTACAAGTAGCTTCGTCCCAAGTGGAGCAGCACAGGCAGTCACTTCTTACCATCCTCTTCAATCAGCCCCTAACCATCTACTTGTAGATATAGTAGGATCGAACCAACCCACCACAGCCTCTCTCCTCTTAAATACATCAAGTTATTTCAGCACTAGGCTCCAACCCCTCCTCCCCTCACAGCCTCTCCCACTTTATAACTTGCGTCGGTCTCTCTCACCTGCAAAGCACCTCTTCCAGACATTCCCACCTGGATGATTTTATCACCAACCTACTCACCCACACCCACACGCTTAACTCTCACACCTTTTTCGTTTTTCCCCCAATTCTAAGCTTTCCAATCGCTTAGAATTGTTCGTCCCTATTTTTATCCCATCAAGCACACAGCCCCTCCCTCTCTCTCCTCTCTCTCAACACCCCTCCAACCCCACACACAAAATGGCCGACCCTAAGCCCGCCACTTCCAAGTCCACCTGGCTCGCCAGCAATGACGGAGTAGTCCAAGAAGTCGGTAAGTCGAAACAAACAAGCCCTCCCCTCGCGAGTTCGCGCCCTCGCTCGCAAATTCGCAATGAGGTCCTCGCTTTGCGCTGCGCAGGGCGATGGAGCTAGGAAGAAAGTGAGAAGTCGCTAATCCACCTGTTTGCCACCAGACCGTGTGGTCGCCGAGCGCTCCATGCTCATCAAGAACATGCTCGACGACTTGGGTGATTCTTCCATCTCCAAGGAGAACCCCATTCCTATCCCTAACGTCAATGACGCCGTCCTTCGGAAAGTCATTGAGTGGTGCGACCACCACCGCAACGACCCTCCCACCAACCAAGATGATGACGATGCGGCTCGTAAGAAGATGACCGAAATCGATGAGTGGGATCAGAAATTCATGCAGGTCGACCAGGAGATGCTTTTCGAGATCATTTTAGTATGGATCGAACCCCTTCCTCCCACTCTCTCATTAGATCTCGCAGCGCTCACCGCATCTTGCCAAAATGAACTGTTTGCTAACCACCTTGAACGTAGGCCTCCAACTATCTCGATATCAAGCCTCTCCTCGATGTCGGATGCAAGACCGTTGCGAACATGATCAAGGGAAAGTCCCCGATGAAATCCGGAAGACTTTTAACATCACCAACGATTTCACTCCAGAGGAGGAGGAGCAGATTCGCCGGGAGAACGAGTGGGCCGAGGACCGTTAAGAGAGGAAAATCAAAACCTTCTCTATCCATTGATCAGCGCTATGGTTTTTTTTTTGCATGACAACAGGAGCTTGTCAAGAGCGGTTGCCTCCTCGGCCGCTCTTTTTCTTCATTCTTAGTTATTCCTCAAGTACCGGACTGGTTAAAGGGTACGGGGTGGAACTGATGGGATGGGAAATGCCCATCATGGCCTTATTCATGGGCAAGCCTGAAAGGAAGGGGTTTCCCTCGTTCGGAACGAGTGGTCAACCCGTATCGAAAGAATGGATGGATGGTGGCGGGATTCGACGAGCTATACAGGAGCGTGGGAGTTTATTGCTGCTTCACCTCGTCCTTTTTGTTCCCGAGGACCCCCTCGTGGCTCTCAACTCTCTTTTTTTCACGTTTCGAAGCCCCTTGCTGGTCCTCTTGTCCCCTCTGCGAGTCGACGGCTATGTGGTAATGCCCAAAGTAATGCCTAAACCTTAACAAAAAATGGACGAGCCCGGGTTTTATCGGCGGTTTTTTTCATTCCTTTTTATCCTCTCATTCCCTCCTCCATTAGGGCATCTGATTATTAGTTGTTCATCATTAGAAATGGGATTTATGCAATTTTGACCATGACGTTGAGAATACCGATGGTGATGATGACGAGGTCCATTTATGTCTCTTATGCTCTTCCCTCAAACGGCGGAAAACATGCCCGTTTGCTCCGTGACATGCTAATCCGCGCAGACCGAGTTGGTCGGGGGTTCTTTATTTTTATTTTTTTCTAAAAATCTACAACGGAATGTGGCTTTACGATTACGAGCAAACCATAGCAACACATTGCAGAATTGCCAGCCAGCCCGATGGCCGTGGGGAGCAGAAATCCATGCAGGGACAGGGAAGGCGTAGGGCCTGTCAGCTATGCCGTTTCTTGCTTGCACGCTTACTGGTGATTCAAGGAGGGTGTGGGGAACCATACTGGATGCCGGGACGAGGAGCCCCCTCTCCGCCAACGGACATGATGGACCTTCTATCAAGTAGGAAAACAAAAGGGAAAGAGATAGAAAGCGGGTGCTACAAGTTGGCAAGCCAGGTAGGGAATAATAGTCCCGGGGAGGATCACGAAGAGAGCTGGCCTTGGAAAAAGAAGAAAATAACGGCCTGTTTGTTTTTGTAAAAACACATGAAGCCCAACACCGGTTGTGTGCCCTTCGCCATTTCCGTTTCGTTAAGGAGCCATTTTTCTTTTTGAAAACCGCGAGAATACCGCTATCAATCTTCCTCCTTATCAAAGAAAGGAAAACATTTCTTCCCTCATTTCCGTCATGGTAAGAAAACAAGAAGAAAGAAAACAACGTTCTTCTCCCCCTTCCCACCTCTCTCTTTGGTTGCCGCCCGTTTTCTCTTCCTTTCTAATTTTGATTTTCGTAAACACAACGCTCCATCCCGTTTCCGACAGAGACTTCTTTTTTGTTCTTTTCTTGTCCTTGAGAAGAAGGCGAGCGTTCACATATCCGTCAAAGACTGTTTATTAGGCCTCGGGAAGTGCGCTGGACGGGGGTGCGGCCTCGAGCTCGTGCGGAGAGATAGATTCGGCGATGGGCATTGCGGAGTAGAAAACGGAGTGCAAAGTAGAGGCGAGTAATTTAGAGGCCGATGCGGGTCTTGCGCCAGTGCCTCCTCTTGGAGTTGTACCTGTGGTGAAGCGAAGAGAGATTAGCAAGAGCTTCTTGGTCGATCGAGATCCCTCAAGGTTGACCGAGGTCCTCAGCCAGCATATGCCCGGTGTGTGGCAAGGCCGGTCTAAACAAGACCCCGGCGCATAGTTGCTGATCACAGCAGGGCTTCCTCAAGCCGAGAACCGGGAAGTGAAATGGCAACGGGGACGAATCGTACCTAATGGTGTTGTTGGTTCGCAGACGGATCCAGTGAGGGATGGGGCGGTTCTGCTTCTGCGCCTTCGCAAGCTTCTGCTTGGTACGGAAAGACTTGTGGCTCTAGATGCCGGCAAACATTCAAAGGTCAGTAAATGTGAGCAGGTGCCATTCTAGAGCAAGAGGGAAATTTCTAGTATTCCCTCCTATGCCATAAAAATAACGAAAGCCGCCCCCGTCGGCCACCATCCTCTCGTCGCCCATGGTTTTTCTTGTCCGCTTTCGTTTCCTCTTCCCGGCTGAAGTGGGACGAGGCGAACCAAGGCGATCGAGGGTTCTCGGATGGCGTCGACGGGAGGGCTTTAATTATCGGCTATGAGAAGGTGCAAGGAAAACATACCGGCATCTTGACGGTTTCGATTGTCGATATGTCGAGTCGAATTAAGGTGGTGATGTTCTGAGAGTAGGAGGAGGGATGTTAAATTCAGACCCAAGGAAATTTGCTAGAATGAGGGTTTGTGGCCCTTCCAAAATGCACCGCGCGCTCTCATTGGTTGTGGTTGATCCACTCCGGGCACGTGAAAGACCACCCCTCCTCAGTCCAGGCATCACCAGGTCAAAACTTGAAGACTGGTCCCGCCCGCCACACTCTGCCATTTTTCTGTGGCGCTATCCAAGACGAGGGTGTGGCAGTGCCGCCGCCTTGACCAGCGCTCTCTCTCAAGGATGACCCTGGCCCAAACAATGTCATGGCTGGGCGAGGGACGAATAGTAGAGAACAAAAGGAAATGGCAGCATGTGCCTATAATTTGTCCCTTGGGTGAGCATCAATTTTTGAACCCTTGTGATCATTAAATTATATTGCCTTTTTCCCTTCCATCTTACTATCATTCTCCTTTCTTTGTTTTTCTCCCTTGCAGACGCATTATAATACCAGGGTGTGGGATATTTCGCTTCTTCTCTCTTCTCTTCCTTTTCCAAGCTAGCAGATAATTTGGGAGGCCAGGTTTCTGAACCCGCCCCTTTTCAGACAAAAGAGTCCTTTGAGCCCATTCTGAAAGGGAAACCGGCCCCCCTTCACCGTTGAATTCCGCTGCCTTGCCTTTCGACGATCCGCTCTTCGTCGGCCTCCCCGACCCTCCTTTCCCCCTCCTCCCTTCCAACCATCAACGTCCTTTCTCTTCCACTTCTTCAACCGTAGCACCACACGCTGCAGATAGAGTCCAGTTTTGCCCGGAGCAAAAGAAAGAAAAGAAAAACAAGAAGAAAAAAGCAAAACCCGTACCTTCCACGATGGGCAACTCCGTGTCTTGGCTGTCAGGCCTTCTGTTCTCCAAGAAGGAAATCAGGATCTTGATCTTGGGTCTGGTAAGCGACTTCCACCCCTAGCCCTCCAATAGCTCTCCGGATCGCAATGAGGGATGGTATGAGATGAGGAGGGGAAATGCGCGGCGACGAAGGGTTCTTGAAGCTCACCGTTATCGCCTCCACAGGACAACGCCGGCAAGACCACACTACTATACAGGCTCAAGGTTGGCGAGGTCGTCACAACCATACCCACGATAGGTTTCAACGTCGAGTCCGTAACATACAAGAACCTCAACTTCAATGTCTGGGTACGTCTTCTCCCCCTTTTTCCTTCCCTTTTTCATGTTGTCGTGCCTTGCGCACGTGCTAGGGCCTGCCTCGGTGCGCCGTCCATCCTATCAAGTTACCCACCTAACGCGCGCCTTCTTCTCTTCTCTCCTACAGGATCTCGGAGGCCAAACTAGCATCCGCCCTTACTGGAGGTGCTACTACGCCAACACGGCAGCCGTCATCTTCGTCGTCGATTCCACCGATATCGAGCGCCTGCAGACGGCGGCCGACGAGCTCGGCGCCATGCTCAACGAGGACGAGCTCAAGGACGCCTCTCTCCTCGTCTTCGCCAACAAGCAGGACCAGCCCGGCGCCAAGGGTGCGGCGGAGATTTCCGAGGCTCTGAGGCTTGGCGAGTTGAGGGACCGGAACTGGACAATTGTGGCCTGCTCGGCCGTAGACGGTTCGGGCATCAACGAGGGCATGGACTGGCTCGTGGTAAGTTTTTTCTAACACCCCCTTGCACCTCGGGGAAATTATGTCAATCCGATGGCACACGGTGGACGTAGTCCAACAGGGGAAGAGAGAGGGAAATAGGGAGAGAACCATGGACTGACTTGCCTTCTTCGTTTCCAGACCACCGTAAATTCGGAGTAGATGACCCCGCGCATAGACATGAACCCACACTTACTCATGCGGTGGGCGCGGCCCATCACCCGCCCACACGCAATGCACACCACAACAAAGCGGTATATAGATACGGGATATAAATGAGAAGAATGACTGATGATGAACACAGAGGGGGTTCTGGGTAGCGAAACGCGAATACCAACGGCAGGCCTCCTGCCCTCGCTCACCGCGAGTACAGCGAGCAAGTGACCAAGCCGAGGTGACGGGGCTGGCGCGGCAATTTTCTGTACAAACATTTCAGGGACCAATATACCAGGAATGAGCGGTCATCAAATGAAAGAAAAAGGGGGAAGAAACAATTCACTTGAGAAGAGAAGAAGAAAGCTATCCAAACAAGAACCAACCTCCGTGCGTAATAATACCTAATAATACTCCTTTTGTTCTTTCCACTCGCTCGTGTATCCCCCTTCGCCCCTCTGTCCCGTTTTTGCTTGGTTCCCCCGAGGGAAAAGGAACAGAAACAGAAGACCTCAGCTTCCTTTGATGTGCTGGGAGGCTCCAAGAGCCGGCGGCGGCGAGGGGAATCAAGCTGTACATGGCATACGTGACACAGCCAGAGCATCCGGTTGTACGATCAAAGGTTCCGTCGTTCACTCTTACCATCCACCAGCCTTGCCTCACCGATACTTGATAAACGAGGACACAAGGGTATTAAGCATGGAGGGAGTGACGAACATGGTGGACAGGGGCCCCGCCTCATCTTTTCGCGCCTTGCATTTTCTCCGCGTGGGGGCAGCTGGGCTGAACATCATCATAATCGCACGCAGCCTCAATAAGGGAAAGAGGGCTACGACACCCTGACATGGTGGATCGTGAATGCAAACTCCCTCCTCGGCCGCCAACCGGTAAACAGGTGGCCTTGTATTGGGGGCCGACTAGGTAAGAGGGCACGTCTTTGCCTTCGTGTAGGCGTGTACTGGTCAAGGTCCGCACGCAAGATAGATATGAATTGGAAATCATGAATACGTTTCTATGTGAGCCTAATCCGATCCCATTGTCTCCCTCCTACAAGCCACCGCCGCGCTCTGTCAAAACTCCAACATCCAATACCGCATTACGCTATCATCACCAACTATCCCTATCCTAAACTGAGTCCAAAAGAGGTGGAAAGTAAATAGAAAACCAGACCAAAGAGAATAGCGAAAGTTAACAAGGATGGGTATCGTAGGTCATCGGCTCATTCATCTGTCCCCAGGTCGTCATGGCGCGGGTTTAGCAGCAACAATCCAGGCACTCGAAGCAGCAAAGTCCAGCGCAGATTCCGCAGCAAATCGCCTGTTTGGTCGTGTCCCCATTGTATGGTTAGCCTTTCCACGATATGGCCATGGGCGAGCCCGTCAGGTTTGCGCAACGGTCTAGGAGTCGGGAGGAGGACTGGAAACCACGAGCTACGAAACGTAGGAAAAAAAAAAAAAGAAAAAAGGGTGATAAAAGACGGAGGATGTGGAAAAGGAGAAAGGAAATAGAAAAAAGGGGTAGACAAACACAAAGACTTACGCCGCCATCACCACCTCCCCTCAACCTGCTCTGGGCGCCGTTCATACTCATCGGCTCTTGCGGCTTCTATTCGATGGGAAATATTTTAGGTCTTGCGTCAGTGGACTGATGCTCCGCCCCCACGCCTCATTCCCAGAAAACCTGATAATCTTCCCGGAACAAGAGAAAGAATCTCCTCGCCTCGCATGATACGAAAACTTACAGGCTGCTCGCTCGTCAAAGCGTCCTCAACTCGTTGTCCAGCATGCATGACGGGCTCGGGTCGCTTCACCGGCTCGTCTACAATCACATTATCCCTTCGCGAATCCATCGTTCTCTTCTTTCCTCCCTTACGTTGATTCGAGTTCTCTTTGTGCTCGGTCGCGAATTTTCCTTCGGGTCGGTGGCTGTCACGATGAGCTCCGTAGTGGGGCCGATGCGGACCGGTCGGTTTCGGAGGGAGATGTAACGGATTAAACGAGCCCGAAAAATGAGCAAAAGAAAAGTGCGATGTGAGATGCAAAGGGGGCAAAAGAGAAAAGGCAGAAGAGATGAGTTACCCGGCTCAGAGGCAGGGCCACCCTCTTGGATATATCATCATCAGTTCCAATACACTGGTCGCATGCCATGTCAGCTTTGTATCATCCTTTGGCAGACTGCATCAACGAATGCCGGTAATTAGGGCGGTCACCACTCCAAACCAGGCTGCCCCTCCTTTCCTCTGGTTCCGAGTGGCCCGCCTCGTTGTGAACTGGCGACCGTCGCGCCCCATGGTGATGCGTCTAATCGCATCAATGTCTTACTCTCCACAGTGAAGCCCTAGTCCGTGGTTGTCCCACCTTACCGTTTCGAGGCCCCGGTCTTATTCTGACTTGTTCGTGACCAGTCATGGCGTTGCCGCACTTCCCATCGGCTGTGTGCAACACCATCATTCCTCGCCCGCGAACCTGCATCAAGGGTCCACCTGACTACCAACTTGTGACACTCCTGGCACCGATTTTCCACCTCGCGGGCCCAAATTACATCACACTCGTCTTCGCAGGCATTTTCACGCACCGCTTATATCAAAGGTCTCATCTTTCAATGCACCATTGCTGAATCAAAAAGTCTTCCAAACGCGATTCAATAATATTCTGCTTAAACGAGAGGTACACCACCGAGCCCGGCCTCGGTTAACCTATCACTGGCTCTAGCAATATCAAAATTCCAATCATGACGATAACAAAGTGAAGCCACAATCTCTAGACTTCCCTCATCCCCACCCGCCCGCAGGGCTGGCCCTTGGCTGCCACTAGCACAACGGTAGTGTCCCGTAAAGGCCATTATAGCTGAGCCCGTTAGGCTCTCTCGCCGTGCTGACGCGGTTTACAGAGTGAACACCGCCGCAAAAACAATAGTCGCCCACAAGACAAAAAGGCTCGCTGGAACACCCCTATGCTGGCGCTGCCCTCCTCCTCCTCATTCTCATTAGCGTTAGTTGGATGGCTAGTATTCCGGCTGCTATTGCCCATGCTAGTCGTGTTGGCCATGACCTTGGTAAGGGTTTGGTTCTTCCTTAGCTTGCTAAAAAGAATGTCTCCGCAGACTTGTTGGCGCCGATATCGGGAATTTCACAGATGGCCTTCTTCTTGTCTTTCGCCTGCCCACACTTCACCTTTGAGGCATGCTGCTGCGTTGCATCGGTAGAGTTGAAATAGGCCTTGACGTACCGCACCGAGATGGCAGTGTCTTGGGCAGGCGGGCCTCCCGACCAGATGCTGTTCCCGTTGCTCCAATGCTGGAGGATAAGGTGGCCAGGGTTTTCGGGGACCGCAGCGCCCGAAATCCTTGCCAGAATCTTACCATCAGCGTAGAAGTGAACTTCACCGGGAAGGAAATCAAAGCGGTATTCATGGTAATCCGAGGTCGGGTTGAAGGGAAGGTCCGCCCGGATATAGTTACCGGATTTGCGGGCATCATAGTCTGTGTCTGCTGCTCTAGGTGACTGAACGATAAGGTTCACTGGGTATAGGCCAGCCTGGGGATTAAATTCCCTCGACAGAAACTCCATGTCAATTTCCTGAGTCTCGTTGAAATACTAGCCCGTGCCCCTGGCGTCAGCATCGATTCCTCTAGTCTGCAAATGCTTCAAATTGAGGAGACTTACCCAGAAGAACGCGGCACAAGTGCCGGGAACATTCGTCAACTTCATGCTGGTGCGGTAAGATCCATACTTCAGATCAGCACGGCGAGAGTCCAACTCTGCGACAGAGGCCATATCTTGATCAAGTTTGCTGCTCACCACGAGCTCAAGGCCATCGTCCGGAGACGTCACAGGCTTGACAAGCTCGGCGCGTGCCAAAGGGGCCTTTTTGTTGGCAAAGTTTATCACATTGCTGGGCCGAAAGTTGAGACCATAAATGCCATGAGTCTCCTCTTTGGTGATGTTGAATGAGGGAAGCATCCAGTTGGTCTCGCTTCCAAAATTGCTTAGACGAGTAAAATCCGACTCCAAAAGCTCCGTGAAAACAGTTCTCTCCTTTGCACCGCCAACGCTCGTGGCATACCCGCATTCGCAGTCTGCCTCGGCCGTCGGCACCAACGAGGCTGCGAGGGCAACAACGACGGCAGCGGTGACACCGTTGGGAAGCATGTTCACAGGATCAAGATGGAAGGACGCTATTTCGGTAGGGGGTTTTCTTTTGCTCTTCTTCTCTGCAGAAGTGGGTTCAGGAGATATCGTTAGAATGAAGGATAGGAGATTTGTGTATTAATGGGAATTTCCACGCCTGCTCAGTCAGAAATATGTCGAGATGGATGCAGTGCAAGTGTTAAGAATTAGGGTGAGCCCAGAAAGATGCGAAGAGGATGTTAACAGCAGTGGAATGATGAAAGGCAGAGTTTACGAGATGGTGAGAGCGAGGAGGAAGAAGACGGAGAAGACGAGGGCAACAAGAGCAGTAGAAGAACCCGGGGACCCACGGCATCTCAACAAAGACTCCATCGTCGCTCAACTAGTTTGAGAAGACGCAAGAGCGACGGCGTAAAAGAGTTTACATCGCTGTGAAAGGTAAGGGCCCTCCGAGCCCGTTGAAGCCTTTAACGTGGCTACAGCAGCCTCGCCATATGACAATTACGGTTACCCTTTCCCAAAGCAAAAGGCGGTTCCGAGGAGTGGCAGAAAAGAGAGGCGGCAGAGTTGGTACGGCTACAAGATGTGAAGGAGGAATGCATTTCATTTTCAGAAGGAGGCCGGGGAACGGTCCTGCCCCAAGACTTCCCACCTCCAATTTCATATCCGAAGCCGCTCGGGGAAGGCGTTTCGGCGGCCGGCGCCTTCCCGCGCGGCGCACACCCTCGTACAATAGACGGTCGTGACCGCTAGTTTCACGTTAACGCTGGGCAGGAACAGTCCGTAGCAACGGGCCGGCGGGCACCCTCGCCCCGGGGTTTCCTCGACAAGATCAGGAAGGAGCTATGTAAGCTAGAGCTAAAAAGTCCACCAATGTTCGCAGAGTGCGCATGACCTTCTTCGCATCAATCAATGATCCGTCCTTCTAAGTTGCCAATGAACGAAGACTATTAGCCCCTGGGTATCTCGCGCACATGCCGGGTGGAACCTATGTGGGAAGGAATAAAGTGGTACGATCTTTCCCCAAACCCGAACGAGGCAAGACCACCAACCAACTTGTGCGAAACAAGTACATTGGGGTAAGTATCGAGAGGGTTTCGGAGGGGTCAGTGGCATTCAAGGCCGTGCATTATCGTATCTCCAAGGCGAACAACGGCATAGGTCACATATACATGAGAGGCACAGGGACATCGAGAGAATGAAAGTGGTTTGGAGCAGAGAGAATTCTTGCTATATTGCTGCAGAAATGCTATGGACTCGTCGAGAAACGCTATTTATGGTTATACACTTTGCGCTATTGCAAAACGCGCGAGTTCACGACGATGACAAGACAGTCATTGACATAGGAGAATAAGGAAATAAAGGTCAAGTTTTGAAAGGTGAGAAAAAGGAGAAGAGAAAGAGAGAAAAAGACAAATGAAAAATGAAAAGGGCATCGATATCAAATTCCCAGAGGAGAAACGGCTTTCGCCGACAGTGTTTCTTCTGCGCGAACAGGGCCAGGGCCGATGGCTCGCTGGCCGTATCACGTTCCCCTCATCTCGACTTTGCCCCTTCCGGGCTCAAGATTATCCCGCGGAGGACCATCATCACCGTTCTTAAGGGGGATGATCGAGATCGGACAGCAACGAATCGCAGGTTGCCCTGCTACTGCCGGGGTACTAAAAGCAATCTGTTGCGAGCCCTGCCAACATCCTAAGCCGGGATGGTTGATAAAAGGAAAGAGAGCTGAATAAGGAAAGAGAAAAGGAAATGAGAAAGGCACGCAAATTTGATAAGGAAAAGAGGAGAGATTGGAAACCAAGTAGGAAAGAAAAGAAGCTGCATGGATATAAGGAGATAGAGAAATGAAAACGGCAACAGGGCAAGGAACAGAGGCCAACCCAGAGTGAGGGAGGCATGAAGACTTGGACTGAACCAAAGCGAGTGTCCTAAAAGGGGAAGAAACATCCTCAGACCTGGAGAGAGAACAGGTATCAGACAAGGGAGCGGTATGAATCTGGAACAAGGACGACCAGGTAGAGTATACTTGTAGTAACAAGGACATTAATAAGTCGGTAAAAAGGTGAGATAAAGAAAGAGAAAAGTAGGAAAAAGTGCCCTCAAGCTTATAAAAACACATGGAGAGAAGAGTAGAGTAAGAGGAGTAAGAGAAGAAAGAAAAAAGACAAGACAAAGGAGAAAACCAGGCTCAAAGAGAGAAGAGAGAAAGTAAAGAGAAAGCCAAAAAGAAAAAAGAAATCCGACGAGAAACCCATATGGACCAGCCAACATTTCCTGCTCACGCAGGTTATTAGGTAGCGCCGCCGCTTGTGTCTAAATACCGGCCGCGCTGTGTATAACCCAGTCGCCCACACAAGCAGGACCCGTTTGTGCTGTCCTGTAAGCCCGTCCTGTGGTCCAAAATTCCTGCCCTTGTTTCTTCCTTGGAATCCCCCATGAAAATTTCACCAACCATGATAATGCCGAAAATTCTCAAGAGACTGTATGCGAACACAAGGTAGATACGACCTTTCCCGAGCCGTCCTGCCCGCCCGAGCCAGGCAACGCCGCCAACTGCTGCCATCAAGTCCTTGATAACTAACACGTGGGAGGGAAAGCACTGGTTCCTACGGCAGGAGGGCGGCTTGGGGGAGGAAGATGTAAAAGCAGCCAACTCCGTCCGACCCACACGCCTTTCCGCCTTGCGCTGAAATGGAAGGTAGGAATAAAAGGAAAGGAAAAAAAAAAGGAAAAAGAAAAGACGCGAGCTAAGATGACGATAGGAAATGACGAAAGGAGATGCCAAGACGGAAACGCAAGGAAAAAAAAAAGGATCAAAAGAATCAAAAGCTAGCTGAACGGAGAGGTATATGCAAGGAAAGGAAACAAGGCCGAATAGGACGAGAGAGAAAAGCATTGGGAATCAAGAAAAGGACGCGCAATCCGAACGCAGATAGAGATATAGGAGAAAAACCGAGGAAATGGAAAGCGATATGTCGTTGCTCTGTCGTCACTAATACACGCTATCCTCGTCGGCACCCTGCGAGATCATCGAGGGCGTGGACGCGTTCGAGGATGCTTCAATATCATCAACATAGCCGACTAGGGCCTGTGAGTGATGTCGGAAAGACTCGCCAATGAGACGGGTGATGCTGCAGGAATGAAATATTAGCATCGTGTTCATCAACCGAAAGGACAAAAAATGATTAGCAACAGGATTTGACTTACCCCCAGACGACCACTTCATCCAACATGGATCCCCAAAGCTTGGCAACGACAGAGCTGAGCTGGGAGGCGTGAGCAGGATCGTCAAGCTCCCTCTCAAAGAGCTGACGGATCTTGTTGTACATGGCAAGTTCCTCGGGCGTGGCAGGCTCATCGTCATGTTCCAGACGGTAGAGCCAGAGCGAGAGGATGATCATCAGATCCATGCCGCATAGCGGGTGCTCGACACTCCAGTTGGTAGGCGAGGTGCGTGCAACCCAGCGCACACCTTGCATAACAGCAGTCTCAATGCAATTGTAGCATTCTTCAATAACCTTCAACATCTCGTTGGAACGCTTGACGCGATCCCTGGCATGGGACATGGCGGCCGCCACCTCGTACGAGTCGTGGTACCGGAGGGCTTCCTGGACCGTCTTGAGGTCAACCTCGAGACGGGCGCGGGCGTTGCGGTACATCGCCGTAGCATTGAACAGGAGAGGGTGGCCCTTGTGGGGGCGCTGAGAGGGATAACAACGTCCTCAGGCTCACACAGGTCGAGCGACTTTTCCCAGGTCTCGAGGGCAAGACGGAGCTTGTACTCGGTGACGACATCCTGCAGAGCTTCCGGACTACGCTTGTGATACCACACCTCGAGGAAGAGAGCGTTGATCATGACGCGGGTCGCGAAGGCGCTGTAGGTAATCCTCTCACCCTGGAACAGCGTGTCATGTGCATCGAGGAAAGTCGCCACGGGAGCCGCGGAGAGTTGCTCCTTCCAGGCAGCCTCGTCGGTGACCTTGAGGTTCCAGAGGGCCTCGCTAGAAGGCAACTGGAGATCCTCAAACTCGTTGAAGTTGATTGCCGGGGTGTGGTTGAAGGTGAGGGTCAGCAGGCCAAAGAAAATGTAGACGGCGTAATACGTCCGGCGGCATCCTCGTCCTCGACCCACTCAGCACGCGTGGGCTGTCGGCCGACGCGGGCCTCTTGGCGGAGCTTCAACTCATACCGGTTCCCGGCTACCATATTGGCAAGCAGACTCTTGATTGAGCAAGCCCACTCCAATCCCTTGGGATCACCGCTCCAGCTCGAGAAGATCATGTTGAGAAGAGAGCTCTGCATGGTCCAGAGGGGCACCTTGCGCGAACTGAAGTTTTCCTTATGCTGGAGGAACTGGTTCACGAGAATCTTGGACCCAATGTGAAGCAGATAAGCCTGATCCTGGTCAAAGGCATAGAGAGCGCCGATGCTGAGGACTGCGAGCAGCAATGGAGGGAAATCTGCGTCGGGTTGAACGAGGCCGGGTGCAGGAAGGGCAGGTGGTGATGGAAATGGCCAAAGTAGGTTGAAAGGTAGCGGTTCAACGAAGCTTGACTGGGAAGCCTGAAACCTTCGGGGATGGCCCGTTCCGTATCGTGAGATCGAATGTTGTCCAGGATGATGTTGCGTTCATCGTCACTGTTGACCTGCGGGGCCCTGAATCCGGCGTTGGCGTTGGAGAGCACACTGGGGGATTGGGGCACGGGAGTGTTGGCTCCGGAACGGGGCAGAGAGTTGATCATGGACTGGAGGGCAGGAACAAGACCATTGCAATTTTGACCACTGATGGAGAGGAGCTGGCTAGCGTGGGGTTGGGCGGTGCTGGTGCTGTTGAATGACTGTTGCGAATCAAACGAGCCCGAGGCGCTCGAGGTGATGGAGTGCGCCTTGGTCTCGGAGACGGACTGGGGCATGAACTTGTCCCAAGGAACCTGCTGGACTTGAGGAATAGCGATGGCGCCTGAGGGATAGGTTACGGTCTGCTCCATGGCCTGGGTGGTGTAGTCCATAGAGCTGTTGCCCTCGTAGGAACCCGCGCGGGAGAGATCAGCAACGAGCATGGCGGCGGCCTCGACGTCGAAGATGGCGTCGCCCGAGGCTTCCATTTGTTGTTGCTCAATCGTGGCCGTGTCGATCGCGATGGATGGCTTGGAAGGTGTGGCAATCGCTCTGGTCTTGGGTCCGGCGCGGCGCTTGCCGTCGCTATGGAGGGGATGCCGCCATCCTTGGCGTGCACCGTTCTGTCGTGTCGAAGGAGGAGGTCGCGTCGCACAAAGGTGCTTCGGCACTTCATGCACTTGAAAGGTCGTTCCTTGGTGTCTAGAATGAGAAGCGCATGTTAGCACTCGGCCAGCCGTTTTAAAAAGTCAGGATGCGCGGGAGGGATGGTGGCAAGGGAACGCCCTTTCGGAACGTAAGGGCCTAGTCTCGTGGTCCGATGAGGGGTTGGTTTGACTAGGACGAGCGGGGAAGCTCGCCCCCAGTGCCATCATCCTCTCCCACCCGACTCGGCACTGGGTAACGCGCAAAGACCAAAGGAGGGACGAAGGAGGGGGAGGGGGAGGGGAAAAAAAGTACGTACGTGATCGCTCATGCCTGCTGCGGTGTTCACTCCTGCTGAATGCTCTGTTACAGAACTGGCATTTGTACTTCCGCTCTGGCGCGAGTGAAGTTTTCCTGGGCGCAGTTGTTGAGGCTGCCGCTGGGGGCAGAGCGGCCACGCTTGCGCCGGGCATCTTGAATATGTGATGTGTGGTGGTAGACTGTCGTCGTTTGGTGTTTTAAACGAAGGCAACAGGTGGATATCTCTCGATGGCCGCAGCGCAATGTATTGCTTGTGTGGTCCTAGTTGGATTGTCTCAACGGGTGGGCTTTACTGCTCCAAGAAACGGCCGACGCAACTCAGCACGATGGTTGAAATCGTCTGACTCTGGTGGGCTCCTCGCTCGCACGCGCTCCCGTGGGGTTTAAAGTGCGTCTTCGGTAGACTCGCGTGTGTATTTGATCATCGGATTCGTTGATATTCTGGTCATGGAACCAATATTCTGATGGGAGAGGAGGGGGATGAACCGGGTGAAGGGGTGTGGTATTAGGGGCAACTGAGGTGAAGACTGTGATGTGCTGCAACAAAGAGGATTCCGACGGAAGGAGTGTAGTGGAGGGACTTGTCTTCAGTCGACAAGAGAATTAGAGGGGAGGCGTCAAGGGGAAAAACGACCGCAAGACGATGTTGTGATGGCGAAGGCTGATGAAGAAGGATGAGGTTGTCGAGAAGGGAAGATTGATGGGAACTGAATGGAGTGGGGGAGGGGATATTTTCTGGAAATCTGGCAAAGGGAGAGGGGGCGTGGGTCGTGGGTCGTGGGTCGTGGCAGCACCACCAGCACGACGACAACGACAACGTCGAGAGAGCCCCGTCGCAGAGGGACGACCCCTCCCCCCTCCCAGCGATCATTGGGGAGCGCGCAAAACCAATGTGCTGGTTTAGAGGGGTGGGCAGAGTGAGGGTACTTTGGAACCTGAGTAATACGGTGTACTTTCTGTTTGGCATTCCGGTACGAGGTACCTCGGCAACGATCATCCTGGACACGATGCTCGTGGCCCCTCCTTGCCCAGTTCCTATTGGAACATGGGCGAACATGGGAGGCTGGTGGTACCTGCCCAAGGGTACCTAATACTCGCAATTTTGAAAGAGAATGCCGTGTTTTAGACTGACAGCTACTTTTGCCCGATGTACTGTGGCGCCGGGATTGCTTGTTTTGGCAGCTGGAACCTTGGTCGCCCCGATAGTGTCCACCGATTTGGGCCTACTTTTCGGCCTCTGCTCAATACATTGTACGAAAGTGCTTCGTCCCGAGCAACCCACTCCCGCGGCCACCAGCACGTTGTACTTTCTACGTTTGGAACGGCCGCTCTCGTCTCGGGATGTACCCCATACATTCCATTCCACGTCCAGCTCCGACTGGGATTGGCACACCTCTTGTACCCCTTTTCGCGACGCTCTCGCTGGATGCGCTAAACAGCTGTGCTGGAAATGGACCAGGCCATGCGGGGCTATCCTTTTTCTTTTTCTTTTCCCTTTCTTTTTCTTTTTCTTCCCTTCTGCGTGCAGCGGGGAGCGGGAGAGGTGGCATCTTCGCTTCCGTCCACTGCGTCCTGCTGCCGCGAGCTAGGTTGAGAGCTGGCAGAGTTGGTTGCCCGTTGCTGCATGGAGCTTTGCTAGTTGCAGCTGTGGATTTCCTCACCCCAAGGCCCAATGACACAATGCGGTATCACTTTTCCATCTCAGGAGTATTAATACACGCTCTGTGGCTTTTTTCCCTTGTGTTGGAAATAGAGAGCCACAGAGGCCTCTTGCTCCTTTTTTCCTTTCTTTTTCTTGTTCTTGAAGGGGCTCAGCCCACCTTTATTTTATTTCTGTGTTGACTTCCTTTTGCTTGCCCCCCTCCCTTTGGTGGGGTGAAATCGAGGAGGGGGCGGGGAGGGAAGAGGGGAGAGTATGGAGGGGAAGAGAAAAAAACCACAAGAACGGAAATCAGAAAATCAGATGAGAACTGGAGGGATGGACGGGCGGATGATAATTGCGCATATAAAACAAAGTGATTTGGAGTGACCAAGGTTGATAGAGAGCGAGAGGGACGGAGAGACGGATGCGACTCACACCTTTTGTCCCCAGCGATATTGCTCCTCCACGCCAACGAGATACGGAGGAACTAGGCTCCCTGAGCGACGTAAGTCCGCACTATCCATTACACGGCGACGGGCCGCGTATCATCTCGACCGCGCCAATCGTTCCCGAAGGCATGTAAAACTTTGCTTGGAGTGTGCTCGCGATGGAATGAACGAAAAGAGACATTTCTATTTAGGCCGCTTACACGCCCTGGCTCAAAAGCATGGTTCAGATGAAGGGGGAGGGACGGAGGCTGGAAGGGAAAATTTTTTCCTTTCCTCATCTCCTCCCTAATCTTCCATTTTTAGGAGGCTACATGGAAGGTGCGCGAAAGGGAGAAGAAAAGAAAAATTGAAACTCCCAAAGAATGAAGAATGAAAGACAGAACTGAAAAAGCACATAGTGATCTGGAGAAACTGGCTGTCTGAGTGGAATGGTGCGTGTGTGTTCCAACGCGGATGGGGATTCCACGGCCTGGTGTTCCGGTTGCTTTGTTGCTTGGGGGTGGAGATTGAAATTACACGGGAGTGTCCAAAAGATGATAGAGGGTATCCAAATTTCCCCTTGGGTTTAGCCTGGGGGTTCCGCTCCGTGCCCGCCAAGCTCACCACCAATGCTCAAGCCGAGGCGTGTCAAGGTACTCGGTACTTTTCAAACGCGCTTGATTTGGCTGAAACACTACCCATCTACGCGTAATCTCTAATGTGCCAGTAACTTATCAGGTTGACATTGTCATCCTCTCCCCAGCTCGGATAGACTCTGCTTGGCCTCTCTGGCACTGTGAATCACAGGAGACTGCCCCTCCTCCCCTCCTTCCCCCAGGGAAATTGAGAAGCTGGCAGCAGCATCGACCATATTAGCGGGAAACAAATCGATCAATTGTCGGCTCGTGGAGCTCCTCCCTCCACTATGCTCTCAGACTAGCGGCCTCACTGTCCTCGCACTAAAGAAGAAAAATCTCCTGTAACCCATTCGAGAGGCGGGAGCCCGAGGTTCCCGCGTAAAGTACCCGGGCCCGTCTTGCTAGCACCCACCGCGCATGCTTCAGGGCCAAGTGACCAGTTTAAGTGTCTTCGTACGAAGTATTCTTCTGTGAACAAAAAGCCTCCACTCCACCATTCCCAGCCAACATCGATGAAAAGGTACAAGCAAGAGGTACTCGCTTTAATGGAGACCAACTATTGGCATCCGAATTCCCGTCTCGCGATTGTCGAAGCCTTCTGTTTTGGGACAGCCCAGGATTAATTGGGATGGAGCCGTCGGCTGAGGGCAGCAAGGGCAGAACTACTTGTACAAGTAAGTCAAGGATTCACTTCCTTTGATATCGTGTGGACCCCTTGAAAGTATTTCCATGCGCTGTGGCCTTTCGTTCATACATATTTTTTTGGCCCTCTTTGTTAAGTTGAAGCTCTTCGCTTTCCGCCAAAGAAGAGAGGGGAAAAAGAGGGAGTCAAACGCCACAGCGAAGCCAAGGCACCGAGCTATTTTAGGGAAGGCTTTTGCTCTCCACAACCGAGGAGTCGTTTGGCTCTCTTTCTATTATGCGAAGACGAGACGGAAACTAGTATGACGAAACTTTGAGGAGGGGAGGGGAACTCAAGGAGGGGCTTTTTTCATGGAGGGGTAAACAGCCATGGTAGATGGAGAAGAAGAAGGAAAAAGAAAAGAATAAGGGGTCGCAGTTTCGTCCCCTCCCTCTGGCCACATTATCTCTCCCAAGTGTTAGGTGAAGTTTCGGTATCCATGAAAAAGGGGCTGAGGGTGCAAAGGTGAGGCGCTTGAAGGGGTGGGTGAAGGAGCGCACCATAACCTCGGCCTCGTATCTCTGGAGAGACTGATCTTCGGCCAGCGAGATGAAAGGGTTCTGTTCTTGCAATTCGTAGGAGAACTTGACACCACCAATCCCCCATAGAGTGTGTGTGGAGCGTCGCTCCCGGCACCTCCTTATACACCACCCCTGTTCTTCCTTTCCTCAACTAGCGATCGACTCTGAACCGCCAGGTCCAGGAGCCCGAACGTACAAGTACGTCAGGTCACAAGGGAACCTGAACAGAACACCGTTAAGAAAGTCGTCAGGTTTGGCTTGTCTGGTCCTGGAATGATGTTGCCCATGTTGCCCAGCCAAGCTTTGAACTGATCAACTATTGATCGGTCAATCGGTATTGAGGTACCTCACGACACAGAGACGGGCTTGACCCCACTAGACCTAAGTGCATGCCCCATTCTACTCCTCCTGCCCCTCCCTTCTGCGTAAGTCGCTTTCCCCTTTCCTAGTTGAGCGATGAATAAACGTCAGAGGTGCCCTGATTCGGCTGCCGAACCTAATCCAGATGGCTCAGCCTACTTTTTCGCTTCGTCCTGGTCATCTTGCTTCTTGGTAAAGATCCATTGGATCCGTCTCTCGTTCAGACAAGAGGCTCAGACGCTGGCGGCCTCGGTGGTAATAAGACGGGTCTCATTTGTATTATGTGCCCATTACCATCCCCTTCTCTTCCAAAACAAGAAGAAAAGAATTAAGAAACATAAAAACAAAGAAGAAGAAGTAAAAACAATCCGCAGCGTCGCTCTGTTTAAGCGTTAGCATCGAGATGAGGTCGTCGCATCACTCAAAATAATCGCCACTTGCTGAATCGTCCCTGCATCAAGTACTTCTTAGTGCCATTGTGGATAACAATGAAAGGAGAAGGCAGTCCACCAAGCTTCTTGCGGAACCAGTGAAACCCAGGCCCAGCGGACGACACGGAAAAATCGATGCCTTTCGCACACCAGATGAATCTAATCGACCACGTATTTGTTAATTATGGAGGGGGATTACCCTCCATTCACCAGTGTCCACGCATTGCAGGCCTCCAGCTCTTTCTCATTTACCCTCCATGACAAGGGCTTCCTTTTCCTCGTCTGCAATGATTCAATTCGACCGTCCCCTTGACGGTGATGCGAACTACCACACCTGCGATATTATACAAGCATCCATAGATCTCTTTCCAGCCGTGTTCCTTGGTTTTGATTATCGGTTTTCATCCCTACTTTGTGCCTGTCTGGGCGGGACCAATATCCATGCCCCAT